TTATTCATTTTCATTATTTTATGTTTTACTGTGTAGGGCAACAAAATAAATAAATAATAATAATAAATAAAATGAAAATGAATTGAAAGAATATAATTTCAGCCTCCTGACAGTCCTATTGTAAATTACTCATTAGAATTTCCCATTAAGTTTCCCATACCCCTTTTCTCCATATTGTCTAGCTAGATGATTTCAAATACCCTCCTGGTTACATATTTAATTAAAAAAGTAGAGAACTCAGACCTCCGCCAAGCAGTAAACTTTGTCCAGAGGTGTGACTTACACCTATAGCTAAAACTCGCACATGTTTTTGGTCATTTTCTAATTAATTGAATTGTGTCATGAGACACACCTCTAGTAAAAAAAAAAAATCCATAAAATCCGTTGCTAACACACTAACAGTGTTCCCTTTTCTTCTGTTTTTGTCTTGAGTAAAATACCTCAGACCTTTTGAAGTTCGGTGCTGATACTGTCAATACTTACTGCTGCCACCCTCTGGTTTAGTGGGGAACTGCAATTACCCCAATATATCCCTATATCACAATGTTAGAGAATCTTTTAACAAATTCCTGATACATAATAATCTGGATCATCACCAAAATGTTTATGGGTTGTGCCTTAACATGAGGGAAAACATGACATTCTCATTAACATTCATCCATAACTTTGCAAGTTATCCTGTACAGAGACACAGAGACAAGTATTATGCTATATTTCTGTCTTGACTGTCCTAAACTTTGGGTTTGTCCTCAGAACAATGCTACTTAAACCAGATGCAAAATATATAGATGTGTTAGAATCACGCTCTCACCTGTGTGTATGACGGATTTAAAGGTGAGGTTACAACTCTGAATGTCAAAAGGGAATTTGTATATGTGCATCCTGCAGGTGCTCACTAACACCTGGTCGTTCTGAACTTCAACATCTCCTTTATTGTTGATTGTTAGATACGGACTTGGAGGAGCTTTGTCTTTCTCAGTCCTGTAAGAAAATAAATAAACAGACGTGCTAAAAAAGTGATTACCAACCTTTGAAAACCTTGGGATTCACACAGGAAAAATCTGTACCTGTAAGTTTTGTGTATGGGGTGGTGTTTGTAAAGCTAAGTAGTCAATAAGTAGGAGCAATATTTATTTATTAAGTTTGTGTTAAGAGAAAAATTAGGGGGTTGTTTTTTCGAAGTCATTTTATCACTGTCATTCATTTATGAAAAATTAAAGCTCCAAACTAAATGTTTACATTGTCAGTTAAAATAATTATCAACATGCTAGATATTAAAATATTTATTTTAATGTTTATTTTCCAAATAAACATTTTAACTAAATATCTATTTTCAACACTAAATAACTAGTTTATTAAATTAATATTTTGTTTGGAGCTAGATATATAGTTTGGAAATTAAATATTTATTTTGTTAAATAAATATTTAGCTCAAAACTAAATACCTATTTAACAAACAAAATATTTGATTTGGAAATTGAATATTTAGCTAGCACCAGGCTAACTAAATATCTAGTTTGTTAAAAACAATATTTAGTTCAGAGCTAAATATTTATTTAACAAACTAAATATTTATGTAACAAACTAAATATTTTGTTTGGAGCTAGATATATAGTTTGGAAATTAAATATTTATTTTGTTAAATAAATATTTAGCTCAAAACTAAATACCTATTTAACAAACAAAATATTTGATTTGGAAATTGAATATTTAGCTAGCACCAGGCTAAATATTTATTATATTTTATTATATAAACTAGATGAATATCTAATTTGAAAGTCAAATATTTTGTTTGCTAGATAAATATTTAATTTGGAGCGAAATATTTATTGTGAACTAAATATTTAATCAGCAAATTAAAAATTTAGCTCCAAACTAAATATTTATTTAATAAACTAAGTATTTAATTTGGAAAATAGATATTTAGCTTGCTGACAAATTTCTTAATTGACAGTTTAGTCAATTAATATTGACTAAATATTAGTACGGTATATTAATACAATTTAGTTTGAAACTTTTATTTTTGAAAATGAAAAATGAGAGAGGAAAAAAATGAAAGATAAAATTAGCTTATTGGCAAATGTAAGAGCACCCTTATAATAAAATCACTCAAGCTTTCAGTGATTTTGAGCCCCAATATTTGTAAATTATATGCTGAATATAATTGTTGCTCACTCGTGAAAACTTACATTTCTTCAATTGTTAAATCTGGTTTCCATAAAATGTCAGAAGGCAAAGAAACGTTGTCAATTCCACAAAACTCATTGGGATCCCAAGAAATGTATTCATTGTTCCACCTCTAAAGAAAGAAGAGGAGAAAATAGAAAAATAAAAAATTAAATGAACAGTAAAAATGTTACAATGGAAAAAAGGATTAGTTACTGTAGACAGTTCCCATGCTTACAAAGACTAAGAAACTTATGGATAACTTACTGTGACGGTCCACACATAAGGGATAAATTTCTGATCTTTCTCAACCTGCAAATATGTAGATTTGCTGGTAAGATCACAAGTTTAAGAAAATCCTTCAACTTGCAAAATAAAGTTTTACTTTAATAATTTGTAAAATGACTGTCTATAAAAATTGCTCACTTACACAAAGCTTTTCTACTACAGTTCTTCCAAAGTACTCTAGATATTATATCTACTGAATTATCACAGTTGGTATCAATGTATGGCTAATGTACAACATTCATTCTAAAGAAAGCTGTTATGTACTTGTGAAATTGAGGCATATTTCAGTTTTCTGGTGCAAAATGTTTAGAAGCTCAGTGATCTGTTATTATCTGGCAAGAATTATCTAGACTCCACTGTATCTAAAAATAAAGGAGCTGCTTTTAAAGAGAAATAGTTTAAAAATAATTTGGTTAATTTGTGTCTCTAAATGATCCTTCCTTCCTTCCTTCCTTCCTTCCTTCCTTCCTTCCTTCCTTCCTTCCTTCCTTCCTTCCTTCCTTCCTTCCTTCCTTTAATTAACTACTCTTTTATTTGTTATTCTTATTCCAATTATAGAGCAAATGTTTCTTCTAGGTCTGTCTGGTCTTTATGAAAATATGTCTGTCTTCAATGAAAGGTTTGGACATTATTTTTTTTTTATTTATTTTTTTTTTTAGATTAACTGTTTCTTGGCTCCAGCATCTGGTAATAAAAGAATCAAGTAGAATTTTGCCATCTTGCTCACCATTGCCCTGCACCACTTTTAAGATGTCCAGATGCTTTCATTGATTATAAAGACAAAATTTTTGTTGGTGAGTTTGCAGCATAGAGGATTGGCTGCAGAGTCAATTAGGATCTAGATCCAAATGAAAGTCAGCTATTTTGGTATCTCTGGTCTACATCATTTTAATAGACATTAAACACCATAAAATAAATATAGATTTTTTTTTCAGCAGCTCGTACATGGTTCAGCTCAGGTAGAGTAAATGTAAATACTGAGACATGGAAACATTTTTTGACCATTCATTTTAAAACAATCAGAAACTAAGCAACAGGTGAAAGAACAACCGGGTTTCATTTGTGAGCATAAAAATGACTACGGTTATAGAATAGAATAATATAAAATAGAAGGGTATTTGGCTGAAACTGGAAAACTCATCATATGTAATGCTTTCGCTGATTTTGTAAGCTAAAAGTGAAATCATAAAAGATCAAAAGGCTACCACATTTTTTATTGATTCATCAGATATTTAGTGATTTTATATATCTGTTACAGTAGGTGTAAAAGTAGCTACGCCCAGCTATCATTTTTCCTGTTATCCTAATCCTCCTGCTACAACTCATCAGTCCTGTGCTATCTGGCCTATTTTTGGTATTTATTTATTTATTCCTTATACGCCTTGCCTTGCCTTTTGTTTTCTATCACTTTTTTGCATAATATGCTGTTTCAGATTTGCAATTTAATATAAATATTGTGAACTACAAGCCTCCAAATAAACAAAATTAAATCAAATTCAGCAAAGTTTATACAAAAGTATTAATTACTTACCACATCTAGGATGGCATAGAGCAGAACTTCCAGTGATACAAATGTGGGATTTTTATAATTTCTAACTGGTCGTGTCAAGGAGTACAGCTCATTGTTGCTTGACAGGTTTAAATAGTTCAAAACATCCTGATAACTGCAGTTTCGTTCACAATGAACTCCATCTACAAGAACAAACAAAAAACACAGTAAACATTTCTTAAACATGATGACTTAAAAAAAAAAAAACCTTAACACTTTATTTTTTGTTTGGTTTTTGCAATGCTATATGGAGTCATTCTTTAACAATATTATTATCGATGCATTAGCCGCTGTGTGGTCTGTACTTAGTGCTTCTAAATTTATGATGACAAAACCAGTTCACAGATATATGCTGTAATTAGAATTGACTGTGGCCATTAAGAGGCCATTATGGGATCATTACCGACATTACACAGGGGCTTATGTAATCAGTTCACTAATCATTCAGTGATATAAACATGTTTTTCAGCTATAATTATCTCTTTCTATCTTTATCTTTTAAGGATGTTGCAATGTTTTATTATGCTTCTGGGAAAACATGTTTCTGCACATCTAAATATATTTGATTTAATTCTTGTATATCTAACAAATTCTGCACCTCTTTCATTCTGAAATTTTCATTTCACCTGGTTTTTCTGCAGGTAATGCATACACAACAAAAATCACTATAGACTAATGCATTCATTGTAAGCTTTCCAGAAGCAAATGTATCATCAACAGTATATAATTCCTTTTGCTGAACAAATTTTAACTGTAAACTGCTTCTGATTATTTGGACTGGATATCCTCCTTAATATTATTTAGACTTACCAGAGACGAGGAGCAGAAAAATGAACCAAACCACCATCACGACCTTTTCCATGTAAAAAAAAAAAGCGTATGCTTGTCCTTTCACTGTGTCTTTACAGACGATGACAGCATTGTCTAATACTGGAGAGGGGCTGGGCAAGCAACAGCTATATTAGTAAATGTTTTTTTTTTCTTCTGAGCTCTTTTCATATTCCCATTAGTCTGACAGCCATACCCAGACTGAGGCTACGCCCATGTTACTTGCATGTACTGAAATATTTCTACATCATATTACAAAAGAAAATATACATTTGCGAGTGACTTCTGAGATATGTATTCTAGATTTTTTTTTTTTATTGCTGATTTTAACAAAGCAATTATGACAAAAACAAGGGCAAGTTCATAATTGATTCTCGTCCCCAAAGCTTTTGCTGTAAGCATAAATGGGAGGTTTGTGCAATAATTGTAGAGATTTGAAGATTTTGCTAAAATTGAATCTCATTAAAACCCTTACAGATTTGGACCGGGTTGACCATTTATAAGATCAGATATTTCCCAGTGCTAACAGGGACAGAACTAAACAAAGAGAGGTAGCAAGAATCTCCTATATATTTTGAAAACCTGAGATGTGCAGAAATGTTTGCTACTTTAAACCATCGTTTCCTTATTCTCCATATTCTAGAGTAATTTGTCATTTATAACTCCCCCCTCTCTGTTTTTAGTTTGGTTTCTCATGCTTTTCTTCAGCTCTTTGTGTTATACTATGAATGAACTGTAATTTATAAGTTAACTTACCTGGCTTCAACCCGCAGGCCTCTCAGTCTTATACATAGTCTCAAAGTAAAAGTTATCTGGGTCTTTTTCAAAGCATACAAAATATTTGTTTAAATTTATGACATCTGAGTTTTGAGATTAAATTAGATGAGCAAGCAAAAGCTTTTTTTTTTTTCTTTTTTTAATCAGTTGAGAATGATAAGCCCAAAGGAACCATAGGAGACATTTATGAGGCTGTTGTTATCTCCTTAATTACAACATTAAACAGCAACTAGATTTCAGTTATGTTATTTTTTTCTTTTTTTTTTTAATGAGGAGTTCAAAGCATATTCAATCATATTCCCTTATTCAAAAAAATCTTTTTTGGCTCTATTCATATTTTGTTTTTAAGATAGGAATTGAAACAAAACCTATTTAACTAGCTTCCCAAATAGAATAATTGGTATGTATACATAAGTGGCTTCTTAAAGATCAAATTGCAGGTTCAGGTTTTTTTGGAGTAAAACAATAATAATGGTCAAGATAAGCAGTTAAAACCTGAAAGACCTAATTTACCCTCATCTCTGATCCAATCACTCTATCAGCCCTGTGCATGACTCTGCCATGGACAATAAATATTTATAATTGATAATCTATTATGTATCCAGTACATGTCTAATATAAAATCCAACGACCCAGCTGGATTTATGCTTCTTTCAGTCTTTCTGTCTCGCTTGGTCGCTGAAGGGCCGGCTCACTGAATGCATCTTCTTTCTACACCAGAGGGAAGTTCCCCAGCCCAGGTCTTTGTTCCTCTTTCGGCTCCCCACCTTCTCCCCTACAGTATATCCTCTCTATTTATTCGGCTGATTCACAAGCAAAATGGCACAGAACCAGCCTTCCTCCTCTCCTCGACTCATCGAATTCAGTGTTCGAACTCGCCTCCAGGTGTTACTAATGTCTGCGACTTTCCTTGTCTCATTGCAATCATCCGACTTCGAAGGCCCAAACACCACCATTTCCTCAGGATAACTTCACTGGCTCTGCTCACCTGGGCAGCCCCTCCCAAATACAACCTCCTCTGCAAATGTACAACTTGCATGTTTTTTATTCTCCTTTATTCTTAACCACATTCATTCATTCATTCATTCATTCATTTGTCCATTAAGATGTATATTACACTGCATCAATCTAAAACTCCTATAGCAACAAGTGAATTTGTTTTCCCTCATCTCTTCCTTCCCAAAGCTGACCAGCAAGGTGCTTCATGCTACATCACTGAACTGACTGAGTCATTCGGACCTAAGTAACTTACTATGGGATAGCTTTTTAGTAGTTTGTCAGTATTTGAGTCAAACTCAGGGCTTGCAAATAAAGGAGAGCATTTGCTAGAACAATTTGGTCTTTTTAAATTGTTTGATTAAAAAAGCTACAAATGGTCCTTGGAAATACTTAATGATCATCTCACCGATTGTGTAAGAATTTGTCATTGATGTCAATCTATTGTCTTTCCTGAAGTAGAGTTGAACCGAATCCGTACCTGTCCCTTGTTACACTGCAAACTCTGCCTGTAAACTTCACTAAAAGATGATTTGTACAATCTTTGGGTCATTTACTTTTTATAAGGTCAACATATTTCCTCTCAGCTATAATGTTAATGGCAATTAAGTAAATTCCTTTCCGGATGCATCTGTTGCTATATTCTTGGGGAAATTGTGTGCATATATATTAAAAAAAAATTAAAATCTGTAACATATTCCCTACTGATGGGATAAAGAATAGAAACATCCAGAAAAGTTAGCTGTGCATTTGAAACAACGGACCAGAAAGAACAGTCTGGTTTGGAAACAAGCTCAGGTTCCACATTGATTGTTTATTTTCAGCTTAATAAGAAAAACAACATTCCGACAAACACAATTAACTTTAAGTTGCAGGACTTTTCACACTATAAACTGTAAAATGGTTCAAATGTAACCCATAAACAAACATATAAAGAGTCTAAACAAGGAAAATATACTCTATGTCCTCTAGTGAGTCTGAGTAGTACAAACACCGGATCCTTGCTCTAATGAACTAATCGAATGACCATCATTCTTTGTAATGACGTCATAATGATGCACAAAAAGCAGGCTGCAGACAATTACTGTGATTGGTTCACAGAGGGAAATGAGCTGAGTTGAATCAGTTTAAAAGAGAAAAGGCTAGAAGTATTTTACCAATGTAGCTTTTTACTTTTTCTCATGAAGTAAATAATCTCTAATGTGTTTTCCAGTCATCTACGGATGCTGCTGCTCTGTTAAAAAAAAACTTCTATAATAATGTCTAAAGTTACTCTTCCTATGCGTCAGTTGCTGCAGCCTGAACAGGGATTTTGAAATTAAATGATTTATATTACATTTTTTATTTACAGTATGGTTGTAAAAAATGTTTTAGGTTTTAATTGTTTGTGGCGTTATTAATCGGAACTTTTAATAATCTCCAATATTTCAGTTAAAACTATTTTTTCCCCTATATCTGTCTGATTTAATATTCCTATTTTAAATGATCACATTTAACAGACATTAAGCCTTGAAAACATCAATTTGTGTTACATAGTTTTGAATTTAGACTGCATACCTTATTTTTGTAGAGGTGTTTAAAGATGATTTTTCTCTGAAATTAAGTGTCCAGATTCACCTACTGTAAATGACTAAATTGCTGGATGGCATTCTTGCACTCATAGTCCACCCCCCCCCAAAAAAGAGACCAGACTGCATGGATTTGCTACACGCACTCAGCGTGTGTCAGAGTAATTTGCAGTTATCTGCATGATAATAAGCATGAAAATTAAATAAAATGTTGTTTCTTTGAGAAATAGCATCTATGAAAAGAAAAGAGATTTTAAATAGAATTAATTGTACTCTCAATTATTTCACATAGATACTGGGATACAGGGTCGTGTCATCTATATAGAGACCAATTCTTTTTTATTTAAGCTTGATATATTAAGAAACTGTTGGTGTTTTTGTTATTTCTACGTTATTATTGCAAATGAACGATGGGACAATAATAAAACAAAGATTCAAAGCAAATTTAAACAAAACACTGAAACAAAATTAACGCACTACAAGAAATATTGCTGACATCACTGAGCCATGTGATGATGCAAGTTGGGGATTGGGGAGGGGGAACAGCAAAGTCCTGCTACACAGACAGGGAGACTTTGGTGAATCTGCTGCATTCAGTGCGTGCAGGAGAGGAAAAAATTATCATGCTTTTACACATGTATTGTGTGACAATACTTGGTATCGATATTATCGATATTACCACATTTACCTTTACATTGTTTTAATATATTACTTCTTTATATGATCTTACTGAGACCAAATTGGTTTGGGATTATTCCTACTTTAAAGTATTTGTTTATTTGATTCTCTAGCTTTGTTTTCATTTCAGAAAAGTCTAAAATGCTGATCCGTGTATGATGTTTTTATAATACATAGGAAACAGTTTCTAAAAGCATATCTATTAATCAAAATTACATTTCCACCCTAAACATTATCCTTGGTCACATAGATAGCAACGACTTTGGCACATGGCACATGCTAAAGGACATTGTACAAAACAGTATTACAGTAAATGATTTAATATGTCTAAGAGTACCATTCCAAAAAAATGAAGGAGAGAAAGAGTGAAACAGTAACAACATAAAAGACAAAGAAACATTTGTTGATTCTCTTTGCCCAGAGTACTGACTTCATTCTCTCTTCTCTAGGGCCAAGATGGTGATGCATCATGTTCTGCAAGTTCTTCAACTCTTCCAGAATCAGCTGCAAAGCATTAGCATCTCCCGAGTCCCTGCTGTTGTTTGCCTGTACATAGATGCAGTGGTTTCACTGTATTTTTCTTTTTGACTTACATTAATACAATTACTCAACTTGTCTTCATCTTTTCTATAGTGCAGGGATTTCCAACTCTGGTCTTTGAGATCTACTGTTCCATATGTATCCCTGCTCAAATATAGCTGATCAAATGACTAAATAACCTCTTTAACGTGTGATCAAGTTTGGCAAAGGCCTGGTAAAGAGCCAGTCATTTGATTCAGTTGTGTTGCAGCAGGGATGCATCTAAAACCTGCAGAACAGTAGATCTTTACGATTATGGTGGGACAACATGTTCTACAGCAGTGTCTTTCCAACTCGGTCCTCAGGACCCACTTTCCTGCATGTTCTAGGTATTTCCCTGCCTCCACACCCTTAACTAAAATAAATGGGTGATTAGCAGGCCCTTGCAGTCATAAACTGTGTTAGATTTCAGCGGCAGCATCCTCCAAGGACCCGGTCTACCTGGACTGGGTCCTTCAGAGACCATTAAAGTAAGGAGGCTAGAAGAGATTGGCTATGGATTCAGGTGCAGCCTTCTCCGGCTGTCAACGCCCCTCAGTCAGTGTAAACTCTTTCGCCTGGCAACTGTGACAGTGCACCCACAAAGCAGTCAAAAAATGGATGCTTAACTTCTCACTATTGTTCTGTATGCTGTTACATTTTTTTAAGGAGCTTCAGCAGCAGCACTGTCCTCGCAAATATAAGATTTATAGTCCCTACACTGCACAGATAATGGAATCTGTGCTTAAATGTAAGCAAAATCCATTAGCACAGGGACAGATAAAGCCTTTTGGTAAACCAACATTACCCACCAAATATCTGACTCAATCCATCCATCCATCCATCCATCCATCCATCCATCCATCCATCCATCCATCCATCCATCCATCCATCCATCCATCCATCCATCNGCCTCCACACCCTTAACTAAAATAAATGGGTGATTAGCAGGCCCTTGCAGTCATAAACTGTGTTAGATTTCAGCGGCAGCATCCTCCAAGGACCCAGTCTACCTGGACTGGGTCCTTCAGAGACCATTAAAGTAAGGAGGCTAGAAGAGATTGGCTATGGATTCAGGTCCAGCCTTCTCCGGCTGTCAACGCCCCTCAGTCAGTGTAAACTATTTCGCCTGGCAACTGTGACAGTGCCTCCCCGGGGCCTCACCCGTTGGGACGTGCCCGGAACACCTCACCAGGGAGGCGTCCAGGAGGCATCCTAACCAGATGCCCGAGCCACCTCAACTGGCTCCTCTCGACGTGGAGGAGCAGCGGCTCTACTCCGAGTCCCTCCTGGATGACCGAGCTTCTCACCCTATCTCTAAGGGAGAGCCCTTAGAGACTCAATAACCATTACAAAACTATTTTCATTCATTTCAGATGGAACTATTCACATACTTGTATTATATTAAACTGCACTCATAATATTCACCCCTGTTTGGTGCCATTTCCCTTTTTCCTCTGAGTACAGAGAGCCTGCTTGCTTGGACTCACAATGAATTACGTGATACCCAAGACTATATAAGATACTTACGACCTGTCCTTCCAACCAGCGGAAAAGAAGGCTCCATCTGTTGGCTGCATAACCAGGAGTCTTCTAATCAGAACAGGCCACGGCAAAGTGCAATGAGATAATCCACCAACAAATCTAGCCTACGGAGCGCGACACCGCTGGATTCGAAAAATAGCTATAGTGTCTGCTGGGCTGTTCAGGCGGTGAAGCAGAGACATATCTAAAACATGAAGGGCAGTGGGACCAAGCTTGTAAACCACTGCTCTGGAGTACGTTAGATTTAGAGTCCTTGGGTCTGTTTCAATAAACAAGTCAAATCCCCAACTCTCAATTGATCTAGCCTAAGGGTGAAAACTCTGATTTTTCAGTTTCATAAAACCTGCTGTAAGTTAGTTTAATCAACTGAGTAGGTTCACTCAGAGTTTAACACGTGCATAACAAGTATGAGAAGCCATTATCAGTGGAGCCCCAATTTGACAACAGGATACAGGAAGTGCCTATTACACCCCACTGGAACTAGAGATTCAAATGCAGAAATGAAAGAAAGAAATGTAAAATTTGTTTTAAAGACAGAGAAACAGCGCTACAGCTGCAAAGGAGAGGAAGTTGGCGAGGGCGAAGATTGGTGCTTAACTTAATGCGCACGTCTATATGGCAAGCCTTTTTTACATTTATTAAAAGCACTCTCCTCTCTGTTGTTCCATTTGTAGATCACGAAAACAGATTTTTCCTGGTCAAGATCCCATTACTACTCTGAAATATAATAGCAGATTTTCTAAAATACATTTTTGCTGCAGAAACTGAATTTCAGAAAGTAAACAAACTAAATTATACTAGTAAGACTTAAGTTGTATATATCTAGACATTTTAAGTGGCTGTTTTGACGTTAATCAGCTTGATTGAATATGTATTTATCATATCTGAAATATATTTCTTTATATATATTCTTTTCAGATATCAGGACTTCATATTCAATAAAACTAACACATATCAAAATGGCCTGCCATAGCCTATTGTAACTATGATAACATTACAGGGAAAACAAGTACATTTTTTGAATGGTAGTGGATCAATGTATCTGTTTTGGGTCAGCAGCTGTCAGCAGGTGAAGATGAAGAATAAAAACATTGTTCTTACAGGTAGGACCTGTTCATCATCTCATGGAGTTCCTCCCCAGTTTTCTTATGTTTTCATCACACAATAAATACTAAGTGTCTGTTTGCAGCTACTTCACATGTTATCATCCCAATAAATGGCTGTTATTAGTGGTTATAACTTCCATAGAATGGCATCAGATTGTACCAGTAGGCTTAGTAGGTTGTTATCATTGAATGAGTCCTAATCCTAACCCTGCAGTAATTAATTTTATGGAATTAATTGATCTATTTATGTGTAATCTGAAAATAATTTCATTAGTTCTTCATGAACTGTAAAAAAAAAAAAAAAAAAAAGATCCACAACTTGCTCATTAAACAAACCAAAATCAACTGACCCAGTAAATTAATATTTTATGCATTTTAACTGTACACACAGAACTATTACAAAAATCAAACTACCTCAGGAAATTAAACAACTGGATTGTCTTTAAGGAGAGCAGAAACAGAGGATACACTGAGTTCATTGAACAAACCCTGATCCCGACTAGATTAGCTCTGGGGAGAAAGTTACTACGGTGACTGAAACAGAGGTTGAGAAAACTCTCTTTGTGAAACGGAAAACTCAGAGTTTCCCTGATTTCAGGTTTAGAAAACTTAGAGTTTTCCATTAAACTGGTTCTGTTGTATCTAATTACAGTCTGGGAAGTAAGGTCTAAACATCTCTGCAAAGGTATGAACATAATACTTTACCTCCTCATTAACAGGAAGGAGCTCATGCTGCTTCTCACTCTCACAGACTCGGCAGATGCAGGGACAACCATTTCTTTTAACCTTGTCTGAGATCACAACATATTTGGTATAAAAATGAGCATGCATAAGAATTATTTTTTTAAATCATGCAAATAAGCAGGGGCCTTTTGTCCCGAAAAATGATGTGCACAGGTGATTCCTTTTTATGGATATATGTTAAGCTAACAAACAACAAAATTTATCACAAATACAGAGCAAAAATATATGGAAATAAATAAAAATCAAAAGATACTCTTATCTAAAGTGAAGTGCATCTTACCTCTGCTATGATTCTTTGTTTTGAGGTGATGGTCTTCCTTCTTGTCCCACAGGTTTAGTTCATCCTTAGTGTCGTTTTCAATTAGATAAGTTACCAAGATCGTCTCCAGCAGACTAAGCAGCATCAAAGCAAAAATCACAATGCAGTAGGTTGCTAAGGGAAGCAAAAGATTAATTAATTAGATTTTTCTTTTTCAGTGTCTCAAGTCAAATTAAATCCCTTTAGGTTTTATACCTATCAGTGGAGTCTTGTTGGACATTGAGGGCAGAATGTCATTAAGGATGAGGAGGAGCACAGAGATGGCCAGCAGCACTGTTACTTTGAAGCCCAGTTTTTCCCCTCGATGATCAGCGATGAAGAAAGAGGCAAGATCCAGAATAAGGAAAAACAGGATGGGCAACAGAAAATTGATTACATGAAGTAATGGTCTCCTCTTTATGCTGACCTGTGGAAAGAGATTAGCAAGGGATAAGAAAAGGACAAAATTCAGAGAATGAAAAGTTTGAAATTTGTTAACTGAGGAGTTTTAAAAAAACAAATGGCACAATAGGATATCTGGATTTAGTTCTTGTACAACAAACAATCCTAAAAAAGGTTTACTGTTATTCTTTGGTGTGAATGAGTTTAATTTTTTATAACTTTTTTCTTGAAAAAAAAACATCTTTGCATTTTCATAATCACGGCTTCTTTGGTTCTTTCCCAAAGTAGTTTCATGCATATATGCTCAACAAGCACCAGGGTATCATTTGTAAAACACTGTGTAGGAGCTATGATAAAAGAGTATGCCAAACAGGCAAAAATGGAGTGCCAAAAAATGTATTTATTGAAATCATGTTTACACACAAACCAAGTAATTTTCCTTTATATATCACAGCTGTATCTGAAATTTTGCACACAATGCTATATCTAATTTTTTTTTCAGCTTTTTATTGTCATAATACTGTCACAAGTACATAGCGACAAAATTAACTCTCTGCATTTAACCAATCCCCTTGAGGAGCAGTGGGCTGCCATTGTGTGGCCTCCAGGGAGCAGTGTGGGGTTAAGGCTCTTTGCTTACGGAGCCAGAGTAGCACTCTGTGGGATTCAAAAAAAAAAGTTAAAAACAAGGCCCTGGACTTGGTTTCCAAGTTTGAAGACGTTTTGCTTCCCATCCAGGAAGCTTTTTCAATTCAAAATGTCAGGAATAGTGTTAAGTTCAAGGTTTTATACAGTAGCACAAACTAAGCCTTGTTTTTGTGTTGAAAACATGCAAATTGGAACAGACAAAGGGGTCCACCCATTTGGAATGGGGGTCATTTGGCATCTTTTGTTAGACTGCAATACCCCATACCCATCTAAAGCCGGGGATACACTGTGCAATTTTTTTCAATAGTTGCACGCAGCTACAGCTCACGATGCATGTTCAGCCTGACACTCTGATGCGATCTACCTGCTCACACTGCACGTCTAAGAAACATGTCGGACTCAGCTGTCAAACGAGTAGAAGAGGAATATGAAGCTCACTAGAGTGAAACGTGCTGCCTCGGCAATTTGTGCAATTTTGTGCTGAAATCCCTGAAAAGAAAACGCAACGACATATTTGGACAAAGACCTGGCTTAGCAAATGTAGCTACTAAGGTCTGTTAATTTTACGGAAAGAACACCATTTTATTTGCACTCCCGCCATACTTCTGTGTTTACATCTGAGAGGAAGAGAAAAAAAAGAGTCCTTCTTTGCGCATGCCCACTGAGCGATTTGCCAGACGTCATGATTCCTGATCGGGAGGTGGTCATGGGAGGCTGGTTACCCCCTGTACACTACACAATGCACGATCAGGCTGAAAGTTGGCCTGTTCGGAAAATTCTCGCACGACTGGAAAATCGCCCCAAAAGGGCAAAAAATCGCACAGTGTACGCCCAGACTAAGTGTCTGAAGGTCTGTCTTTAAAGGAGACTGGCTGAATAGATTAGGTCCTCCACGCTCCTATACAGGCGTAGAAGAGAAGAGAAGGGAAGCCCCACTCCAGTCTGTGGGAGTGGGGCTTGAACTCAAAAACTCTGGATTCCAAGCTCTGTGAACTAACCATTAGGTCGCCAGTCTCGCCACTCCTCATGTCATGTTTAGCCCTCTTTACGCCTGCATTCAACCATAAATGATCCATAGAAAGCATTGCATGAATGTATCTAAATGAGCCAACTGATGAATGTTATTTAATGGCTTCCATGGCAACTGCAGAGATGTTGTCTAGTTGTCTTTGTCAGCTCTGGTTAATTAACTTTTTGATGAATGCCTTAATGTGCACTGTTTTTTTTTTTTTTTTTTAAAAAACAGTGATTATAAGATAATGTGTGGGTCCATTGAGTCAGTCTCTCCAACACTGGACTCAAGAGCAGGGCTCTAATCTGCTCATGGTACAAATATTCTTCACTGAAAAAATAATGCTTTATTCAGTTACTTTAGTTACTTTAACACATTTTTTTCATGTTACAGGGTAGGATATAAAACAATTGTCTTAAAGTGACTAAATATGATTAAGTAAATGCCAAAAGCGGTTGGGTTACTTTTTTCAGTGTTGGTGATCCCTGAAAACGTCTTCCCACCCTCTTTTCTAAATTATAGTCAAGCATAGTTAAAGCATCCACACTGTAAAAACGACAACTCAAAATTGTTCACCTTACTAAGATTTTTGCATTCACTGACAATAAAATTGCCAGTTGGAACTTGAACTGTCTTTTGTGAGCCAGTTGAACTCACTTTCATAAGTTTCTGATCAAAAGTTCATCTTATTCTATAAATTAAGTTGAGTTTACTTAGAAGTTGTAGTTGACACCCAGTCC